TGTACCATGTCTTGAAAATCAGGATGGCCGAAAGCAGATTAAAAATAATCTAAATATGAATAAACAAGCAAAAGCTGGGTTTTGGCCTGCAGATACTATTTCCTGGATAGCAACTAGCTAATATCCAGGATAAATTGGAAATGAAGACTCAAGACATTCATTTGGTATTGGTTAAGATCACTCTGTGCCCCTCTGCTTCCCAAACACATGACACCAGGATAGAAAGCAGATGCCTCTTGAACTATCAATTCTGCCTGAGTTTTCCCATGAACATATGAATGTGCAGGGAAGAACAGCTTTGCCAAATCCATCCTTGCTCAACTTTCTTCTTACCTACGTTAGCTTTATGTAAACTACAAGTCCAATTCAGAAAGCTTATCTCAAATTGGCATACATTTATAATAGAAAGATGTACTAAACAGACTAATGGGAAGGGTGCTAGAAATGAATAGCATACATATACCACACACGCATATCATGGTCATGCCTTGAGGGAGGTGCATTTCTGAGTCCAGTGTTAGGTAAATGCCCTTGCCTCTCTTTCCTTCCTTCTTCTTTCCTGTCTTTGATTAACTCTCAGTATGAGATTAAGGTTGCTATTTCCTCTGGGCTGCGACTTGACTGGCTTATGTCATTACATAAAGCACCACATGCACTGTTGGTACTGTATAATTGAGTAAACAGACTGATTCCTCCTAACCAGGAAATCATGGAAAAGTCATTCGGTAAAGTGTGGTCAGGCATCATCAAAACAGAATTGTTAGTACAGTTCTCATATTCTTTATTCAAATGAATCTACTTATTGCCATCTGCTGGACAGTCCCCACATTTGCTAGCATGAAGCTCCTAATTTGGGATCTCATTTTTTCCCTATTGCCATCATCACAATGGACTCATATTTCCAATGACTTCACTCATTTCTTAATCTAAGCAGTCTTCTGTGCTCATATTTGTGCACCTCTCCTGATTTAATGATCAGTTCACAACAAAGGATTCACGAGATGCTTTTGTAAACAGAAACCTGCAAACTCCTCCTCTTTATCATTGGAAAGAAACACTTCCTCACAAGCTAAGTTAGAAAAAGGCTAAGAAAGTTATCTAAGAAAATTATCTATCTTAGAAGACATCTAAGAAAATTATTGAGGAATAAATTGTTACTAAATTGGAAACATGCTGAAATTCATGTAACTTTTTATCCCAATAAACCATGTTAAAGAAGTCTATGAGAGTCTTGCTTTGGAGAATTATTTTCTGTTGAGGTAACAATCAAAAGAGCCTGCCCCTTCCCTTGTTCCTGAAACCCCAGAGTGGAAATGTAAAGCAGAAAGCCCTCCTTCAGTTACCATGGAAGGGAATTAGAAGACATCTCAGATGTGTGCATCTGCTTATCCAGTCACTGGCATGAACACACACTGGTTCAATGTCATCCCCCATTTTTCCAGAAGCAGCTGACCAGAAGATAGATTAGCTTTTATGCAAGACTTGCAAATCCAATGTGTGCAGGGCAAGAAATTCTGCACACAAAGGTGGAGATCTTGGCACTCCGTGTGACAAGCAATGTCAAGTGCAGATCCAAGTGGAAAACTACTGTATTTGGGGCTGTTCAGTCAACTGAAGCCCCTTCTTGACTCTGCGCTGATATTGGGTTTGAACACATCCCTAGAATTATTTGAGGAGTACACATTTGACCAAAAAGTTACTGGTATGTAGAGGATGTGGCCCTCAGACACTATAGTACCAAAGAGGTGCAATTTTACCTCCATAGGGTAGATTATGGTCTGCGCTGTGGCCCCAGCCAGTGAGCCAGCAATAAATCTCTCTTGTACCCTCAAGGTCTCCTGTTGCCCACGAATTGCTCGCTTTATCTGCAAAGAGAAGCAGTGGATTGAGACCCTCAGAGATAGACTGGAGACTCCTCCACTTTCATCTCAATTAACTGAATAAGGGCATGAGCAAATTACTACATTTTATACCAGGGAAATGGTATGTTATTACACTGGGATATCAGTTCCTGTAGGGATTTCAGTAATAAACAATGAGCCTCTTAACAGAATTACCCTTCACAATAACTTGGCTAGATCAGTTGTTTCGTTTTGCTGAAATGTTGACATTTAGGTTGGGGGAGAAAAATGTTGGAGCTTGAGGAGTCCTGCCTTTGATATTGTTTGCTCCTTAGATTTTCTCCAGGAGCTCAAGACAGCACGCATAAGACTTCCTTCTCCAGTTTTATTCTTAGAAGAGACTGAAGTTAACAACTTGCCCCAAAGCATCCAATGAGCTCCCATAGCTGAGGGCAGAGTTGAACTTGAGGACCCCCATTTCTAGTCCAACATCTAACCACTAATTTGTTTGTGACAGATTGGCAAGGACAATGTCAGAGAGAAAGTAGAGTGTTCAGCTCTGAATGGACTTCTACTCCTGCTATAATAGGAGGCTTATGATCTGGGTGCTCTTCTGGTCTCATGGCTCCTGCTAGAACAGCAAGTAGAAGTCTGGTCAGGAAAGCCTTTGCCTGCATTTGGCTGATGCTTTTCCAAAATAGGGGACGCTAGCAACTGTCACCCTTTACCTTGTTGCCTCATGGACGGACTAGTACAATTTGCACTATGTAGAGCTGCCTCTGGAAATCATTTGGAAGTTATGGCTGGTACAAAAGGTACTATCTCAACTGAGAAGGAGTGTCATCCACCGTCATGTAACCCCTTTACTTTGGGAGTTGCACTGGCTGCTGGTTTGCTTCTGGGTATTAGTGTACACAACTGCAGCCACCTTCCGATGCGGCTACAGTCCATACCTGCTCGTAAGCCATGAACTTGATGGCAGATTCGGGTGCAATCTTGAGGACATTGACGCCATTGCCCCGCCACAGGGAGCGCACACCTCCCTCATGAATCATGCCTTGCAGTCCACCAAATACATTCATGTTGTTGTTCTTTGATGCATGGACCTGTAGGTAAGGCGCAGACACAATGTTAGTCCCTGCCTCCTCCATGAGGAGGTCTTGGTTGATGGCATAAGCAAAAATAACCATGTACCATATGGGGAGGAAGCAATGGAAATATTGCAGTGTTGGAGGGGTATTGTTTCATCTTTTGCAGCACTGGAAGGATATTTCAGGATTCCACAAGGTAGCCTTTTGGAGAGACAAAAGAAGTCACGTTGCTCAATGTGCAAGATTTAAGGGCTTCAGGATGAAACCCTTTGCACTTTCAATACTCAATAGGAAGATTTAGAGGGTAATATTAGATTGGGCAACAGTTTCTAGTATAGCCTATACCCTTTGGAATATCCTTCCCCCTAGGATACAGCAGGGCAGGTTATGCTCTTTGCTCCAACTAAATAAAGAGAGCTTCAGTTACATGTCTTCTCCTCTAATCAGATGTAGTTCTATAGCAGTGGGGAAGATCTGGAGGTTGGGAGCTGCTGGGAGTTAGCCATATCTGGCAGAATACAGGTTCCTCTATAATAGTTTCTTCTGGAATTTATCAACAGAGATTGCAGGATTATTATGATGAAAGTGGAATAGAAAAGAATGAGAATCTTTTTATTTTCACAAGAAAGCAGAAGGGGAAAAATAAGGGAAAGATCTATAACCACTTAAACTACATTACTTAGAGGAGAGGGCTGCTGCTAATATTTGAGAAGAACAGGAATACGCAGAAAGATTTTTGTTTAACGAAGTTTTTCAACTGGCCATACAATCGGTGAGGGGTGACTGTGACCATGGATGCAATTTTTGGACTGCACACTCTTCAGTTGTGCTCCTAAAATACATCTTCACCAAGGTTAAAAGGCAAGTTCAAACTGGCTTAAAGGTTTTCCACCCAAAGAGATGGATGAACTTCTTACATGATTCCGCTTGACTCTTCTCCCATCTTTCAGTTTGCTTTCTTCAAATGTTCCTAGGGAGGGTAATCTTTTTTTCCAGCAACCACAAATATACTTTCAGAACATCGTTTTCATTCCCCAAATCATAATCAGCGGTTTAAAACTACCCTGCCTTTATTCTCATTTCAGCCAATCTTGAACCACACAGTGCTCCCTTCCAGATGTTGACCTGGACAGCACTGAAAAGGCTGGGCCACCAAAGAAGAAAGTGGATGATCTCTTAGAAGCTACACTGATTGCTATGAATGGAAAGAGCTGACAAACTGCTGCAGCAACCTTTGCGCTCCTCTACCTTCCCACCCCAGTGCAAATCACTAATTGAAAGCTGTCAAAATATTGGCTGGGAGTTCCTGCTAATGGGAAAATAGCCCAACCCCCAAGTTCCATAGAACTCAAGTGTCACAACTTACAAAACAGGAGTTTTGCCATTTTGTTGAGCCATAGCTGACTTGGAAGTAAACTGGCTAAATGGCTCAAAAGCATGGTCTGGGATTAAGGGGGCATGGCACCAATCTGGAAGTGGTGTCACAGCCCTGCATAGAAGTGTTCCAGATCATAGCCTATCACCCCTTCTACTACAGGGGAGAGCACAGGGAACTGTGATGTTCCCTGAACTGAGATGGAAGGGAAGCAACTAGGGCAGTGATTCTCAAAGTGTGGTCTCTGGATCACTGGTAGTCTGTGGAGTCCATCAGATCAGCCTACTGCAGCCTCCCCATGTTCATTGGCCAGAGCCCACTCACTGCCCCAGCCTCACCTCTCCAATAAAACTCTTGACAACCAGCTGGTTCACAAGAATGGATTTGTGGCTGGAAGCTGGTTCACTGGAACATTACAAATATTTAATATCAGGGAATAGATTTATATGCTATTCTAAGTGAAATTGATCTTGCACAAGGAACCCCAAAAGAAAAGTGCTAATAGGAAATACAATGAATATCTACAAGTGGGATTTTATTGGGCTCGAAATCCACTTGTTTCTAGCCACATAGTACTTGGAGATCTGTACTGAAGAACATTGTTGATCAGCAAGTTTGTGCTAAGACTTATTATTATGAGATGCGGGGTATATAAAATCATAATATGGTGAATAAATGTTTAATTTTGATTATTTTTTCATTTGCAAAACTGTTTAAGACCTTTAAAAATGGAGGGGATATGAAAGACATATACAACTGTAACTATAATAATTATCTTATTCACCAAATTGGTTAACTCCAATACTGTACTATTAAAGCTGAAAACAAGGGAGGGGGTATTTATTCATCTTCCAAATATTTAGAAAGTTGAAGAAGCCTCTGAATTATGGAATATAAAGAATAAATTGGTTTTGTTTGCTGTAATAATGCTTGCAGATAAGCCTCTTTGCATTGAAGGGTGGCATGAAGGAGGGAATGGTACTTTGGGTGCTACATGTGTGCACTCACACTCAAACCCCTATGCAGTTATACTCTTCTTCCCACCTATCATTTAGCATGCAATTAAAATGGAGAACACTGAATTTCTT